ATAGCGCACTTCAAGCAATGGCGGCTCGTGCATATGCTACAAGAGGTTGATCTATTACTACTTACAGCTCCCTGAATAGCACTTAATATAGGTATCACCTATGCCCATAATGCATATCTGATTTGGTCTACACGACGTTGTATTAATTAGGTCTCTTTGTTAATGTTAAATAATGTAATTTATCTACAACTGCACCTTAATTAATATAGGTGCAAAATTAATTTTTCTAATTCAACTCTGTTAGATCTATATGTGTAATTTTTAATTATATATTTTTTTATCAAAGCCAAATATTTTGATATAATAATATTTTACCGTTCATGAACCCAAAAATTCCCTAATTATAAGTAAAACTACGAACGCTTTTAATGTAATCTCCGATTAATTATCAATTTGCATATTTTGATTATTACTTCCGCCACTGATGACACCGGGTTGTGGTTCATTTATTTGATCCTTATTAATATAAAAAAATACATGTAAGTATAGTGCATTTCAAGATAATGCTATTGAAATTGTTGTCCATTATTAAAATGAAATTAATTATTGTTTCTAAAACGCACCCACAATTTATTGTAACTTATTTAATCTGTAGATACATCTTAATAACTGTAATTGCACAATTAATTTCTATTGCAAGCAAATAATTAAAATTCATCAGATTTAAGGGCGAACACACGAATTTTTATTTCATTCCACAATGAACTTGATTGTCGGTAGTGTCTGTTTTATTATGATATTTTTTTTACCACATCCAAATTTTTTGGTAAGAATTGCAAATAAAGAGCAGAATAAATTTTATCATAAATAACAAAAATAATAAAATTTTAGGGTGATTCCTATTTATGGAGCCACGAATTCGCCAACTTGACGTATATAGACAGAAATATGATACCGTATGCCAAAATAGTAAATTTCAAAGTAAATAAAACAACAAAAGCCTTTAATATTACATGTAAATTAACCGCTGAAATTGTAAACGATATAAGCAGTTATGTAAGTTTTTATTACTTTTGTGCATACATAAAAAAACAAAGCTGAATGAAAAATGGTTTTTAGGTTCATGTAGACAGTTACCAATTCCGAAGTAACGAATACATGAAGGGGCCAATTAACTTCAATATTAAACCTTGTAAATTACTAAAAGAGAGAAATTATGGAACGGCATTCTTTTTTAAGAACAGTAATATGACAACCTGTCCCGTTAAAAAGGTACATCATCATCATCATAAGGTCATCAGTCCTAAGACTGGTTGGACACGTACCTCCACTCTTTCCTATCCTGAGCTAAACTTCGCATTTCCCTAAAACTAGAACAGCCCACATCCTTAACTATTTGCGAACAGTAATCTAATCTAGGTCTACCTCTACCCCTCCTAACTCCTGTTTCTGCCTCTAATATGTCTCTGACTAGACCTTCATGCCTGAGAAGGTGTCCTACCAACCTATCTCGCCTATTTTTTATTGACTTCCATAGAGTCCTCTGTTCTCCTATTCTTTCCAATACCTCTTCATTTCTAACCTTTTCTACCCACGATATCCTCATCATCCGCCTATAACACCACATTTCGAACGCTTCTAACCTTTTCTTTTCCGCCGCTCCCACTGTCCATGTTTCGCACCCGTACAACGCCGTGCTCCAAACATACACCTTTAACAACCTTTTTCGAATTTCTAAATTAACCGTTCGCGAGCATAGAAGTGACTTCTTTTTATTAAAGGCGACACGACCCTGCGCTATCCTCTGCTTTATATCCCTACTACTCCTTCCATCCTCACTTATCTGACTTCCTAGGTATCTAAAATCAGCCACTTCTTCTAATTTTTCGTCTCCTATCTTTATATTCGCTCTTTCCCTACTTTTTCTTCCCTTGCATACCAGTATTTTAGTTTTACTTTTATTTATTTTCATACAGTACTGATCTGTCAGTACCGCTTCCATTTTATTTAAAGCTATCTCTAGGTCCTCCTTACTTTTGGCATACATTAAAAGGTACACCCCGTGTTTTTAAATTTGTATGAATCCAGCGAAAATGTCGTAGGCAGTTGCTGCAATCGACCATTTATACCCAAAAAGAAGAACGCCTCGTGGATACAGGATATCACAATGAAAATGTTTTGTTTTGAAATTGAATCTAAGCAACTCTTTCAACCGTAACCTAAAATTCAGTTTCAAAACAGACCATTTCCTTTTGTGGACATTGTGTATTTTGCATGTGAATTTCGATTTCGGCAATTACATATAACAGAAATAAAAAATCATACAAAAATTTAAAAACTCAATCTTATAAAAGTGAATTTTGATAATATTTTAGGGGTATTATAATTTTNATAGGTACTCTATGAAAAATAATTTACAGTACGGTTACTGTTACATTTTACTCGAATTGCAAATAAATATACGATGAAGTAATAGCAAATACCTGTTTCTTTGAATTGTCCAATTTACAATAAAAACTTATCCAGTACCTAATGCATGTTTGATGCAATTCTAATAATTAGGGAGATAATTAAACCTGTTTTATTGTCCGAAAACAATTACAACGTTGCCACATTACATTATGTAGGTACTTTCCAATTTTTTATTGTTTTCTACAACTTCACTAACGGCAAAATAATTTCGTAAAGAGAAGCATAATAAATGTCAAAGTAATTAGAACGTACAATTCATGACGCTGAAGCATTTCTACATTTTATATTTCAATTGGTTCAATTTCAAATTAACAACAGGTTCATTTATTTTGTTGCGCACTGTACATACGTTTATGATAAAATAATAGCGCACTTCAAGCAATGGCGGCTCGTGCATATGCTACAAGAGGTTGATCTATTACTACTTACAGCTCCCTGAATAGCACTTAATATAGGTATCACCTATGCCCATAATGCATATCTGATTTGGTCTACACGACGTTGTATTAATTAGGTCTCTTTGTTAATGTTAAATAATGTAATTTATCTACAACTGCACCTTAATTAATATAGGTGCAAAATTAATTTTTCTAATTCAACTCTGTTAGATCTATATGTGTAATTTTTAATTATATATTTTTTTATCAAAGCCAAATATTTTGATATAATAATATTTTACCGTTCATGAACCCAAAAATTCCCTAATTATAAGTAAAACTACGAACGCTTTTAATGTAATCTCCGATTAATTATCAATTTGCATATTTTGATTATTACTTCCGCCACTGATGACACCGGGTTGTGGTTCATTTATTTGATCCTTATTAATATAAAAAAATACATGTAAGTATAGTGCATTTCAAGATAATGTTATTGCAATTGTTGTCGATTATTAAAATGAAATTAATTATTGTTTCTAAAACGCAACCACAATTTATTGTAACTTATTTAATCTGTAGATACATCTTAATAACTGTAATTGCACAATTAATTTCTATTGTAAGCAAAATTTATCGGATTTAAGAGCAAATATATGAATTTTCATTACATTTCACAATGAACTTGATTGTCGGTAGTGTTTTTTTTATTATAATATTGTTATTTTTACAACTTCCAAATTTTTTGGTAAGAGTTGCAAATAAAGAGCAGTATAAATTTTATCATAAATGACAAAAATAATAAAATTTTAGGGTGGTTCTTATGTATGGAACCACGAATTTCTCAATTTCACATATTTAGACAGAGATATCTATCCGTATGCCAAAATAATAAATTTCAAACTAAATAAAACACTGAAAACATTTAATCTTACTTGTAAATTTAACTGCGATCTTACAAACGATATGAGCAGTTATGTAAGTTTTTCTTACTTTTGGCATACATTAAAAAACAAAACTAAATGAAAAATGTTTTTAGATTCATCTGGAGGGTTACCAATTTCGAAGTAACGAATACAGAATGGGACCAATTAATTTCAATGTTAAAACTTGTAAATTACTAGGGGAGAGAAGTTACGGAACAACATTCTTAATTAAGAATAGTAATATAACATCTTGTCCTGTTAAAAAGGTATACTCCGTATTTTTTATATATTTGTATCAATCTAGTGAAATTACGCACAACAGAAATAAAAAACCAAACAAATTTAAAACCTCAATCTTATAAAAGTAAAGTTGTATAATATTTCAGGGGTATTACCATTATTATAATTTTGCTTTTGATTCCGCATCAGTTCCCCGTTTTGTACCTTCTGGACGCTGGAAGTTTGTAATACAATTGTTTATAAATGAAAAAATGGCAGCTCAATGTGATTGGTTCGTAAAAATAGAAAATTAAGTAGGATACTTATAAATGTTATAAGAATAAAGGAGAAAAATACATATAAAGTTGCAACACAACGTTTCGTTTTTCTTAAAATTCTAATCCTTACCTTATTTATGGTGTGAATTTGTCTATTGATACCAATGATTAATAAATTAATAAGATGATTAATAATGTAATGTTAAACTAATACCAGTATGTCAAGCAACNAAACAAATTTAAAACCTCAATCTTATAAAAGTAAAGTTGTATAATATTTCAGGGGTATTACCATTATTATAATTTTGCTTTTGATTCCGCATCAGTTCCCCGTTTTGTACCTTCTGGACGCTGGAAGTTTGTAATACAATTGTTTATAAATGATAAAATGTCATTTGAATGTGTATGGTTCGTAAAAATAGAAAATTAAGTAGGACATATACTTTCAATTTGGAAACAATTATTTACAAATTTTAATAGGGTAAAGTGGAAAAATACATACAAAGTTGTAACATAACGTTTCGTTTTTTTTTAAATTGCAACCCTGACCATACTGATCATCATCATCCTGATCATTTCATCTGACCACTTCTATAAAATCCGTTAATTCATAGAAGGAATGACATTTATTGGAATGATTTTCTCTATAGATCACAGATTAAAGAAATGTATAGGATGATATTCATATGATATTATACATAGATAATAGATCTACAAAGGGTATTATAGATGTCAATGTTTTACCAATATGTCAAGTGAATGTTATTAAAAAATTAAAAAAATAATGGCCAAGTGGCATTCTAGTACGGAATCCGGTATTTTGCGTAAAAATGTTAATCCTGATAATCATGAAGAACTTCTAGTCTTCGGCTATGCATGTAAGCTCTTCAGAGATGACGAGAAGGCTCTTTATATTGACAAGGGGAAGCATTTAATTCCGTGGATGGGAGACAAAAACCTAAAAATAGATAGGTTGGTTTGTTTTTATAATTTTCTGAATTTTTAGTTAATAAAACTTATTAATTCAGATACGACGGAAGAAGTGCTTTATCAGAACTTTCTCAGTTTGAAGCAAGCAGGGAAGGTTATGATGCAATGCGTTGGTTAGGTTTAAGTGAGTCTGAAAGGCGTATAGAGCAACTTTGCGACGAGGAAAGGTATTATGCTTTAAATATAAATGAAGAAGAAGAGGAATTATATAAAGGTAAGTTAATTAAAGATCATTGTAAGTTTTCTAATTTTGTGATTTAATAGAAGAGGAACGAAAAAGGTTATTGCAAAAAAATAACGAATATCAGTTCAACTATGATGTGCAACCTGAGCCTGAACCTGAAAAAGTGCCTACTGTTGAAATGGAAGATGAACCATATGTACCTCCTCCTGATTTAGATGTTCCTTCTGATATAGCAGTTGTAAGTTTATTTTCGTTCACATTAAATGTGCATACCAATGTGATAACAAACAGGAAACTTTTTACTACTAAGGAATAATCTTTTAATTAAACAAATAAAGAAAGGCTCAAGTTCTCAGGGAGTTTGGAGGTCATTAAATACAATTTTTGGTTAAAAGATAAGAAAGTTCTCGTTTGTTATTAACTTTCCTCAAAAGAAGATGACAAAGTAATTAACTGACAATTTACAGCCTTCAACAGTAAAAGAAAACACACGAATAGAAAAAACTGCTCTCTTTGTAAGCAAACAAGGTCTTCAAATGGAGATCCTTATAAAAACAAAGCAGGCAGATAATCCTCAGTTCGGTTTTTTGAATCAGCAGGATCCTTTGCACAAATATTACAAGCACCTCCTTATGATAATTAAATCAGGGAGGTACAAGGTCCAATCAAAGGAAAATTGCACAGGTATTAGAAAATAACAGTTTTCTTTTTGCCTTAAGAAGATATGAAAATTTTGGATTTTGTTTCAGATGAAATGAAGGATGAACCAAATGAGAATGAAGCCAATGATGAATATTACCTTCACCCTTCATTATTAGCGACTCCAGTGCAATCGGTAGGTGGACTAGTCATTCAACTCAGTCTTGTCAGCTATAATGTTTTTCCGATTTTAGCTAAAATTAGTGATTATACAAAGAACATTTTACAATTTGTACGTGAGTTATTATTGTTGTTTATTTTTAATTGGACCCTAGGTCTTGAGGTATTCGTTAATAAATTTCTGTGCCACATAAAACTGTCTTTTACTTCCTGTTGTATACATGTACTAATCGTATTTTCTGTTTACAGGTCCATGCGTTCTCAAGGATAAAGTTTATTCATTTATTTTTTAGCTGTTACCATGCTTTTTTTGGTAATTACTTCAACCAACCGGAAAAAGAATCATCGATTTGATTCAGTTTAATATTCAATTAATTTTTAATCTTAACTGTTCTCTAGTTGTTAGGCAACTAATAACACAGTTGCAATGAATACTGGCCTGTTGTTATGGTTTTTGGGCCCGTTGTCACTACAACTAACCAGTTCTCTAGTGAACTAAATTTTATTGTTTTGACAACTTTTCTTTGCATTCATTTATTAATTTGTAGGATGTAATATAACGAAATTTTAACGTTATCTTATTTCGTTATATGCTGTTTACTTGTTTTCTTTGTTTGAAAGTTAATTTTTTATATTGTAAATAGTTTTCTGTGTTTTTGTTTAATGATTTATTCATTAAAATATGAAGAAAGGTTCTGTTGATCCTAAGAACGAATAATAATCATTACACTTAACATACAAGCCACTTAGCGCAGGAAAAGGAGAAGTAAAGAAAACATCAGTAAAAGAAATATTGTGCGTCATACTCATACGAAAACTTAAGAAAACTCCCAGGGCGTGTGCTGTGGTGTGAATGGGAAGAAGAAGATCTTGTTTAAGAAATTATTATTTATGATTATTATTATTATCGTCCTTAGGAACATTGGAAGCCGTTTCTGTTATAATCACATTTTTTCCTAGTATTCAATAGAAACTAGAAAGTTTTCAAGGGACGTGCCTTCGCCGTTACCCTGTTCTTTAACAAAGATGTAGTACTCACCAGTTACTCTCACATTTCCCATTTATTGACAGGCACCTCCCCCCACCACTCCGCTGACAATTCCATACAGGCCTTCCGCAAACTGTAAATATCTCCAGCTAGTCAACCGTATACAGGGCAACCAGCAACAGCAGTTTGCATCTGTAACAGCACCAACAAACGCGGAACTTCCATCAGTGGCGCCACAGGGCTCTGCTCCCGCCCCACAGCAACTCACCTACGAACAGCAACAGTATTACCAGCAATACTATTACGCCATGCAATATTACGAATACTACAAGCAAATGGCACAGCAATATTCTGAAGGAGACTTAGACCCGAAGATCGTACAATACTTTCAAAATTTGTCCCAGCTTTCCAACTTCATGCAGACGCAAGGGATGCAGAACTTCTTGGAAATGCAACAGGCTCAGGTGCAGATGCCTGACAATCCTTACGCTCAAATAGTTTCCAATTTGGTGAAAAACAAGGAGCAGGTCTCTTTTGCTCCTGTAACAAATTTACAACAGGGATGCCAGCAAACGGAAGGCAATATAGCTAAAGCACCAATTATTTATAAACAAGACCAATCCATTACTTCCCAAAACACTCCTGAAAGTGGAACGCCCGTTGGTATGATTTTTATATAATTAATTAGTTCCTCAGGAAAGATAGTTAATTTTTTTAGATTCTCCAAAGCCTTCTGAACCATTACCTGAACCAAAAGAAGAACCAAAACCAGTTCAAAAACATCCTCTACTTCATTTTGCCCATTATGATTCCGATAGCAACGAAAGTGATTCCGGCGAAAAAGAAACTGAAGAAGAAACGACTTTCAAGGACACCAAAACAGATGTGATTCCACAAAATGTACAGCTTATAATAGAGAAAATGGCTAGTTATGTATCAAAAAATGGCACTGAATTTGAAAACATTGTCAAAGCAAAGGGAGATCCAAGATTCGAATTCTTAAATGAAGAGCACAAGTTTCACAGCTTTTACCAAAAGAAGCTCGAAGAGTTCACCGCATCAAAAGCGGTTAAACCAGAAAAGGAAGAGAATCAAGAAAAAGAAGCAAAGAAGCAACAAAACGCGTCAGAAAATAAGACAAAGGAAAAGAAAGCAATCGGTAAGGGTTTTTAAAAATACTAGTTGCTAGCTGTATATTTATATTTTGGTGTTAATATTTAGCTCCTGTAAGTTTTTCCATAAAAAAGACGAAAGAAGAGACTCCAAAAGAAATCAAAAGCGCCCTTCCAATGGAAGAAAGCGATGAAGATGCTGAAGACAACTTGGCCAACGTTGCGCCTGTGTCAACTGTACAACCGCAAAACACACCGACAAACCAAATTAACAGCGCAAATTGCAGTCCAAGCCGGACCCCGCCTCTTAAAGACTTCGATCAGAGTGCCAAATCTTGTTCAGAAGTTGAAATCAACAATAAAAATGTCGAAAAAAGTAAAGAAAACGATTTACTTGACGGGGAAGACCCTATTCTAGAAATGATTGATTTAACCGACGACGCTGAAGAGAGGAGAGAAAACAAAAGAGGTATGATGAATGAAAAGTTAAATACTCAAATACTTAAAGTGTATATGTGTTTTGTAGCTGAAGACAGGAAAAAGGACAAGATAGCAGCTGCTGCTCGAGAAAGATTATCACTCCAACTCGAAAGAAAACGTAAAGCTGCTGTTTTCTTGAAGTTGATGAACGCAGACACTTCAAAAGCTGACAAAAAGACTATAACTTCAAGTGGACGTGAGGCAACTCCTGCCACATCCAGTAGCAAGAGCAGCAGCGATCGTAATGATAAAAGTAGATTGGAACGACAATCTTCCTCTAAGGAAGAGTCCAGAAAGATAAGGGATAACGATTCTTCAGAATGTGAAGATAGAGAAGTGAAAAGACGAAAATCGAGCAAGAAGAAGAAGTCTCATAAAAGGTATAGACAAAATAATTTTAATCAGTGCAGGATTAAAAAAAAATTTATTTTTTTTTAGGAAACGCTCGAAGGAAAAACACGACTCGAGGCATCACCATAAAGACCATAAAAAATCAAAGAAAAGGCGGAGATCTGAATCGATCGAATCGCATAGCTCACATGACTCATAATTTTTCTTATTTGATTTGTGTACAGATTTACATTTTTATTGTTAATATTTACATGTTTTTTAATAAAACTATGAAAAACAGCGTATTTTTTTTATTTCAAGTTAACAATCTACTTATATTCATAATTCCATGGTAATTCCCTACAGGTACAATAGTTTATTATTTTAAGTTAACAGGATCGATTAGTTCACTGTTTTTGTTATCTTTAATTTTAGTAATAATTTTCGACTGCATAGTTATATTCGGAACTAGTATATTTATTTTGTATTTATTCAGATTATTTAGTTTATTATCTATTATGATATTCAGTATTTCTCTTGGGTTTACTCGTCAGTAAAGTACATTTATCTTTTATGATTAAGTAAAGTACTGTAGCTGAACGCAACCTAAAAATTTTCTAAATAATTGTTTAACCAATCACAACACAGCAAAGTATGACGATATGGCCTTGAAGTATTCGTAACTTTTGTTGAGCGCGTCTATTTCGTGAACATGCACGGTTTTTTACATTTTTACAAAAATAATGAGTCTTTTTCGTAGAAATATTTGTTTATTAGTAATAATAATTTACGCGATTGTATGTGTCATAGTGCGATAGTTCTTAATATGCTGTACCAAGCAATCGGTCGTGTTTAAACTTTTGTGCTGTGTTACGTGAAAAGTTTGTACTGTTCAAAACATTTTGTGCTACCTGTGATAAATAAACTGACCAAATAGGATATTACTCGTACATTATAGTTGCTGAAGTGGTGAGTTTGATTTAACAATTTTATTTTCATTGTCTGTATAAATGCTTGCAAAACCAAGAAGTACTATATCTCAATAGGGAACTGCAAATCTGTATTAAATGACGGTGTGTTGGTTGATCTTTCCTATATTTTCGTTATTAAAAAGTACTTACTGCATTCACAATATCATATAGTGTTAGGCACATTCAGGGATGCAACCTCTTTTTCTCAAAGAAAACAGTAACAGGATGATAAGTGATGAGAAGTGTGACTAATTTAATCCATATAAGGGAGTAACGATATGGAGGGTACCATTTTAAGATTGCTTACATTGCTTTTTTTACAGCCATTTCAACTTCATATTACGAAAGACTTGCAATTCATTTTTCATAGCATTAAGATTAATCTGTTTGTTTTCTTATTGTTTTTTCATTTTTACTTGTTCCAATTTGTCGTTTGCTTTTTTCACTGAGGGAGGAAAAACACTGAATACTATAATTTAAGCTACTTGCCCCAAAACTTTATAAGCTATTCTGATATAGATGATTTTGAACATAATTCTTGTATTAAAAATGTAGACAGTCTTACCAGGTTCTTTAAATATTTTATAGTAACTTTAATAGTAGAAGGGAATCTGATNTATATTTCTTTGATCTGAGGGTTTTCCATTTGGGCATCAAATACTTGTGGCCAGATCTCAAACGCGAAATTGTTTATTTGTTCGGTCATATCCTTCGTCTGACGATGAGCTAAAGTTGATTCTACTACTTTTCTCATTACTGCATACGAAGAATGCACATCGATTTCTGTTAAGTTTATCAGTCTCTCGTCTTTCAAAGGATCTGGCGTTATCACTGTGATTTGGTGCCCTCGTAAACTCAATTCTTTCCAAACATTCCCATAAACCAAGATGGCTTATAGATGGTGTTGTAAAATGAGCCAAAATTTTAGCAGAACTTGTGACTTTTATAATAGCTAATAGCAAAGCTAATATTTTCTTATTCATGTTGTCTCGATTATAACTGAGTGTGATTTAATAAAAAAAAGTGTATAAATCCGTATGTTATCTATCGATTATCATGTTTAAAGTGTTTATTTATCAACCGCGCTCAACAAAACTGTTTATCGTTCTCGGTGCGCTCAACAACAAATCTTGCATTTTCTGAGCTTCACAATTGCATTACACGCTTCTTTATCGGTATTTTTTCTTTTAAGTCGCACGATCGAATGGCATATTTTGATGAACGTGTGGAATATATTTTTCGACCACGTCTATCTGAAAGCATCTCCTAATGTTTTTCTGAAACCTGCCCTAAACCAGCAGAACTTTCAAAATCATTTGATCAGAACGTAATAATACCCACCAAAAGCTTCAAATTCCATTTATTCGACTTAGTCACTTTAGAAATTCGAAAAAGATTGATAAAAGGATATGTCTGGAGCGTTAAGATGTTGTGTTCAAAATATCATGGATAGAGAATGTTAGAAATGACGAGACATTAGAAAGAATTGGAGAACAAGAGATGACTATGGACGTCAACAAGAAATAGTCGAGATAGGTTGGTAGGACACCTTCTCAGGCATGATGGGTTAATTAGGACATATTAGAAGTAAAAACAGAAGTTAAAAGAGGAGTAGAGGTAGACCTAGCTTAGATTACTGTTCGCAAATAGTTAAGGATGTGGGATGTTCTAGCTTTAGGGAAATGCGAAGATTAACTCAGGATAGGAAAGAGTGGAGGTGCATGTTCATCCAGTCTTAGGACTGATGACCTTCATCATCATAAGGTCCTATCCTGAGCTAATCTTAGCATTTCCCTAAAACTAGAACAACCCACATCCTTAACTTGGTCTATCTCTACCCCTCCTAACTTCCGTTTCTGCCACTAATATGTCTCTGACTAGACCTCCATGCCTGAAAAGGTATCCTACCAACCTATCCCGCCTATTTCTTATTGACTTCCATAGAGTCCTCTGTTCTCCTACTCTTTCTAATACCTCTTCATTTCTAACCTTCTCTATCCACGGCATCCTCATCATTCGCCGGTAACACCACATTTCGAACGCTTCTAACCATGTCTAATCTGCAACTCCCACCATCCATGTTTTGCACCCGTACACAGCAGCGTTCCAAATATACACCTTTAACAAACTTTTTAGAATTTCTAAATTAACCATTCACGAGCATAGAAGTGACTTCTTTTTATTGAAGGCGACTCGACCATGCGCTATACTCTGCTTTATATCTCTACTACTCCTTCCGTCCTGACTTGTCTGACTTCCTAGATGTTGTAATGTAAAGCAGCAGTGGTGGGTTTTGGTCAGACTGTGCTCTGGAGACTGCGCATAAACCAAACGGCTTTCATATAGTCACTTAGTTGTCATGGTCCATCAAGGCTTTATCCTCGAGTCTCTCCCACCAAAACAGCCTAATGTTTTTGGACTTTTGAAATGAAAATTTGTGATAATTTTTCGACAATTTTATCGACCATCCGCCGTACTTGCCGGATCTAGCTCCGTGCGACTTTTTCCAGTTCCTCTCGGCCGAGAAATGTCTTCAATCAATGAACATCGAGTTTTTTGCCGATAGAGGTCAGACGATTTCTTAAAAAAAGCTATTTGTAGACTGCTTCCATCAATGGCGAAGTGTATATAGAACCTTAAAGGAAACTTTGATAGGGACCAAACTGGTGTTAAAATTTTTCCGGTTGGATAATTAATTGTTATATGTACCTCCTTATTTATACCTTATAGAGTGAGTACCTAGTGCTTATTATAATTTACGATTAATTAATGGTTTTGGAAAGTGCCTCACCTGAAGTACGTTATCATATCTGAATAGGTCGAATGCATTCTTTGCCAAAGCGTTTCAGCGTTACTATAATCCAAGAAAACGTCCGGATAGAGTGCCGGATGAGACGGGTTTCCTACAGACCTTTCTACTATTTTAAACCCGCTAAGAGAAATTACTCCCACAGAAGGACAATCGTATTTTGCAGCTAAACCGTACACGACTGGATAAAGTGGTTCTACAATCACCAGGTCGTATTTTTCTCCATTAACATTTTTATAAATACGCGAAACATCGGGATCTTTCATTTGAAGGTCGAACAGTCTCGGCATGAATTCAATGAATATTTCCTTTATTACACTTCCTATGTCAGGCGTGATATTATCAATCGCATTTTTTTCTAAGGCTTTCTTCATGAGCACGTAAGAAAAACTAACGTCAATTTCTGTGAGGTTTGCCAATGGGTTTTCGTCTTTTAAAGGGTTCGGAGTTATCACCGTAACCTCGTGACCTCGCAGACTTAATTCTTTCCATATTTTCTGATAGACGAACTGGTGGCTTATCGACGGCATTATAAAATGAGCCAAAATTTTGGCACAACTCCCAAACTTGACGACAAACAACACAATCGCAACAACTTTCATTTTTGTAGTCGGAACTATTGATGATTTTTAAAATTGTTTCCTTTTATACATATTGCAAACGAGTTATCTTGCATATCGAGATTAATTTTATTTATTAATAAAAGTACTTATGTGCTATAATCCAGCTTTAACGTAAGAAAATTGCTGTATTGTCAGCATGATATGTAGAAAATGTGAAGTAGGGTAGGAAATTATTATACTTATAAACAATAAAGAGAGCGATGCAGTATATAAGGCAGCATGAAAGAGAATATGGGCCGTACGTCGATGAACAACCACAAGCGAGTAATACATCAGANTTATTATATATTTTTTAATTAAACTATAATGTGATTGGTCTTGAAAGTTTATGTTAACGAAACATATTTTGAATTTTCATCTTCTACATGCATCTTTCACTATATTCTCAAATATAAAATGAAATACATTTGTGGTATTTTTTTAGCAAATTTCACTGTCATGACAATTTTCACTTTGATCTAAGCATGCACACGTTTTAAAACAACACAGTTAATTAAGTAATACACAAAAAATTATCATCAAATATCCACCATAACTTCCTCATCTTCATCTTCTTCAACTAGTTTTGTACCATCAATCAGAATGGCATGTGGTGCAAATGAGTTGAAGACTATAACAGTACAAATGTTGTAAATTACAATTTTTTCTTCAACATACATTAAATTAGACCTGACCTTTAACATTCCCTGCTTTGAGATGTTCACTGAGTTGTCTTACTGTCATGTTTGTGTCCAGGTCAAATGTAATGCTTTTATAATTCGACTGTGATTGAGAGTGTTGTTCAACAACTTGTTGATCTTGGATTAATTGAGGACGTTTCTAGAATTATTCATTAATAACAGCAATTGACATTTTGTTGTTGTACCTTTACTACCTTGTTACCATCTGGCATGTGGGGATTTCTACAGCCTCTACATTTGCATTCGATACATGCCTTGCTCTCTACATAACAAGGACACCTTTGACCGCAACAAGTGAGTTTGCCAGGGGTTGCTGTTGCATTTCCACATCTGCAACCACGTCTCGACTTCAGCATACATTTGTTTGTTGGTTTCTTAAAAGCTGCTTGCTAAAAAAGTTAAAAGGAACTCGCATATAATAACTAGGTTTTATTACATAACGACTTACCTTGTCGACTGTTATGTCATCATTTATGTTAGTTCGCATCCCCTTTATCCCTTGATTTTCAAGGGGTTTTCTTTTAATGGTAATTTTGCTTCCTGTCCCAGAATATAAAACTGAATACAAGTTTCCATTGCATATCCTACGCAAATCGCTATCCAAGATAATATCGTTTTGGAGGGAGTTGCTATTGTTTATTTGTAATGTTTGAGTTCCTGAATTAGTATAAATGCATGGCAAAATACTATAGGCTGATTTGGAAAGCCCTACGTCTCTATGATAGTTATCTTCAAAAACCGCCCCTTCTTTAATTAACAATATAAGATTGGCAGCCCCAGGGACATTTTGAGCTGCCTGTTCTGTTAAAATTCTAAATATTTCCGAACTTATCAACATGACGCACATCCCATTATAGCACTGTAACAATGTTCGTAGAGGTTTGTTTTCAGAATAGGTTTTGTAGTCTTTACATGTTGTACAGGTTGGTTTTAGTTTTTTTCGTCCTCCCTTGCACTTTCGACAAACGTGATGCTGACACTTTCCTGATGGAGTTAAAGGCTCCAAAAGTAAATTTCCACAGACAACACAACACAAAGAATTTCTCAAATACGGTACGAGCCGGTACAAATCTTGCCAAGTATTTGAACTTTCGGGGGTCGATTTTAATATGATTTGACTTGTTGTAACATACAAATTAAACGGGTTCATTCCGGAAAAAGTTTAATTTATCGAATATGTAACTTAACCTAATTTTTTCCATACAAAGATTAAGCAGTTTTAAAAGGTATCTCCACGTTAATTGAAATGACTCGTTAAGTCCCTGATTAGTTTAAAAATGCAAATTTAATACACTAATACTGTTTTTTTAAAAAACAATTCAACAGTTATTAAAAATTATTACAAGTTAGTATTCCATCCTTATACTTATTTTATTTACTAATAAACTATAGAAATAATTAAATAGCAAAAGGCAAACAAATAGCGTCTCCATAGAAATGCAATATGGTAGTTTTCTACTCACTTCCAATATTAATGAAGCTGTTGTTTCACAGATGGCGCTTGTGTGTAGTTTTGTGTAAATTTTCTATTTATTTCAATTTCTATTTACAAAAGTTAAACACATTCAGTTTAAAACTATTTACAATTTCTAAAATTGAACTATTTCTTAAATATTCTTAGAGCAAAAATATTCTACTTTTATTTCTATTATCAGTAGTCGACCATAATTATTACTCCATTGTTACGTAGGGTCGGCCATCATTCTTTTCTTATTGTTGCCGTATTGTTGTTGTCGGCCATCATTCTTTTCTAATTGTTGTCGTGATGTCACTGACGTCGGCCATTATGCTTAAAGTTACAGTTATTTTAACAGTTTAATTTATTGATTGCTATACATATAATTTAGACAATTATAGCTTTTTACAATATTTTCGACGTGTAGTTTCGTAGTTCTTAACATGCTGTAGCAAGCAATCGGTCGTGTTTAAACTTTTGTGCTGTTTTACATGAAAAGTTTACAGTTCAAAACATTTTGTGCCACCTGTGAATAAACTGACAAAATAGGGTATTATTCGTACATTGCACTTGCTGAAGTGGTGAGTTTGATTTAACAATTTTATTCTTTCTAGTTGTTGTCGTGATGTCACTGACATCGGCTATTATGCTTAAAGTTACAGTTATTTTAACAGGGACATTAGTTTAATTTATTAACTGCTATACATATAATTTAGACAATTTTTGCTTTTTACTATATTTTCGACGTGAAAACACATCCAGTTTACAATTTTTAAAATTGAATTATTTCTTAGTAAAAGAATATTGTACTTTTATTTCTATTATCAGTAGTCGGCCATAATTATTGCTCCATTGTTACGTAGACACTCTTTTTTTACTATATCTTCGACGTGAATTAGAATAAAAACCATCACTTCTTATACATATAAATATTTTATTAATTAGAAGTCATCTATAAATATATACGATCATAAATATAATTAGGAAAAAATTTCATAATGTTCTAATTTTAAATGGAATTACGATGATTTTATTTTTGTTGAATTTTGCCATGATTTAATAAACTTAAGTAAATATTTGATGGCAAATACTATAACAAATATTGCAAACGCAAGGACGGATAATACTAGAGCAATAATGTCCAAAAACAGGTATTGGTATAAGGGCATGTCTAGCAAGGGGTTGCGCAGATGCCTTGCACCCTTATGCCTTATCACATATTCTATCCACCATACTGCTTTTTCCACTCCTGTCATTGGCTGATCGAATGCAATATCCGATAGTTCTGCAATTTTTTGACGGTACCTGCACATAAAAGAAAAGACAATCGTATTAATAGATTTACTTAGAACTTACGCAATTAAATTCGTGACAAAAATATCTTCTCTTTCGTAAAACTATTTTTTTTTTAATTTTTAATTTCTGAATTAGAAAACGATAATAATATTAATTAATTATAATCATACTTGTCTGTATTGATTAATTCCAATATTTTCAATTTCATTTCTTCTTTGGTGACAGTATTTCG